GACTAGAACCGCATCCGTGTGGTCTTCTCTGGTGGATGCCTCCCAACAGCAGAGCCAAGCTTGTGAGTTCCTGAGGAGGCATGATGAAGGTTGGAGATGGAAGAGATGGTGAAGTAACAATTCCTAAATGGAGCTCATCTTGACAGAAAATAGAACTAATGATTTCAGTAGAAGTTATGCTATATGATTGGGCAGGGGCCTGAAAGTTCCACTCATTGCAATTAGTGCCCAACGGTTTCATCTAGAAAGCATCTAGAGATGTTATGATGGTCTGGGAGGGCAGCTTCAGAAGATGAACAGCACTGCCAATCCTAAGCACAAAACAGCAATTGTGCCAAACCCCAAAGGTGCACTCCCTGAAGACAGGGAGGATGGGGTAACACACCACCTCCCTGCAAAGACTAGAAAGAGAGATGTATCAGAACTCGATGTAGATATTCAACTTCTGCAATGAGAGCACTTCTCTTTGATCTGCCTAATTAAACTAGGAAAACTTGCAATCAAAGCAGTTTCACACTAGGCTGGGAAATTCTGCAGGCCTTAGAATCAGGGATGCAAAACCTGGCTGGGAACAAACGTCATGAGCCGCTGGGACAGGTGGCACAGACTGACAATTCCAAAGGGAGATGCCATCCAGCTTCGTACAGGTTCTAAAACCTGTACGCACCATTCAGAGGGACCATCTGGAAGCACTGAATCCTGATAGTGTATCTCAGATGTAGACAGCTCAAGTTTCCAAGTGCCAACAACTTACACCAAGGTAATGGAGCAAGGGCAGAAATGACACAGGAGGGAGGTCAGGTGAACGGAGTGTGCAGGAGAGAAAACCCGGAAGGAATCTGAACTGTAAACCGAGCTTCCAGCACTAGGGACATTATGGTTCGGACATGAAGCGGTCTTGGCTCACGCGTTTGAAGAACTGGGCCCCTGCTAGAAGTATTTTGCCTTGTTGGAGAACCTTTGGACACAGGGTCTAGCCTGCTGACCAAGAGTTGTAGTGGTGCAGCTTGTGGGTCATGACCAAGTCGCCCTAACTTTCTGCTTCACAGGTGGTGTCATGGTACTGGTGTCATGATCTACTGCCACACCCTCCCTTAAGCTGATTCAGTCAGGTATTTTGTCCCAGTGACAAGGAGCTAATACAAGATATCGGTTCCATGCACACAGAGAAGACAGTGAAAAGGATGCATTCATCTTAGTAATGTGTACTTATATAATGCTGGTTAAAAAAAAAAAAGTGTGGGGCCATGACAGACAAGGAGTGGAGTGGTCTGCCTAGCATGTACGACATCTATGTTCAAATCCAATGCTAACCAAAAGAAGGGGGAGGGGCTGGTCAGCAAGGACGATTAATGGAAAGTAATGGTTGCACATCATATCCAGATTTTATAACAAGTTAGGTGTGTTTTGAAGAAAACAGGCATAGAGATGGGAAAAAAAACTTTGACTACCCACTTTCTGTCCCGCACTCACCAGGAATTCCAACCTGTCCACAGGACTCAAGAAATCTTGGCCCTGTTTAGCATTAACTAACTCTCACAGGGGAGGCTGCAGAGGACCACATCTGCACATCCTCCCTGCAGCGTGAAATGTGGGGTCCGACCCTGGTCTCATTCGGATTCTCCTTAGGCTTGTCCTCTCTCACGTCTGGCTGCATGTCCTGGGTCTGAGTTGCAGATCCCTAAGGAACATGGCTCCCTTCTGGTGGAACCTCTGCATTTAAGCATCACAACCCCCGACTGGCATGGAGCTGACACCTGAGCTGGGCCTGGGTTATCAGGCAAGGCTAACACAGAGAGACAAGAGGCTGTCTACAGCTGGCACACATGTCCAGTGTGGGCCAAGGGATGGGTAGAAAAGCAGAAATGTCTAGAAACATTTCTCAAGTCACACTTTCTGGAGGACACCTACCCTGACATTGTTAGTCATCACCAAGTACTGCCTCAGTCTCCCCACAGAATGCTGAGCACGGTGCTTTTCGGCCATGGTTTTGTTCCCTGTGTTGCCAGTGGTCAGTCAAGGTCCAAAACATGTTAAGTGAATTCTACAAGTAAACATCTCACAAGTTTATCCCTTTCCAAACACAAACCTAATGCTCATCATGTCTGTTTGCCAAGAGACTAGAGCGGTGCCTGAGACCTAAGAAACAGCATCAATGCAAGAGTGAAAAGACGTAAGAGACATAACTGGTACACCCAGCTGAGACGAGTCTCCAACAGTCTTTGGAAGAAAGCTTTTGGTTGGCTTAGCTCACTGAAAGGGGCGGGAAGAAAGATGATGGAAAATGAAAGCTTCTAGTTGGCAAGAGCTAGTTCCCTTCAATCATCCGGATGGAGTCTCGGGATAGCAGAAGCTTGCCTAATGACTATGCAGCGCTAGTGCAGCCTAAGGGAACCCAAGTTCCCATCAAGCAAGACGAAGAGGATGCAGAACCCAAGAATTTGGGGCAGCTGTAAAGATACCCCAGTACCGACCCTGCCTATACCCCAAGGAGTCTCATTTCATTCCGCCCTGGCTGCTCATCCTGTCCTTCCTCCTGGTGCCCTTGATTCCAAACTCACAAGATGCTCTACAGTTTCCTCCAAAGAGAACATGGGGCAAAAAGAATGCACAGCGAGGTCTACAGAGGAATGGTCCTTACATACACACACTTCTGCTCCATCAAGCCCAAACCATCGGGTTTATTTTCTTCTTCAGATTTTAAGAGCAGTGTACCACAATAAAGAGCGCATCTCCAAATGGGCTCCTAGATCAACTGTTGGTGGCAAAATTTTATTTTATTTTTTTTTAGAGGAAATGGCAGATTCGGATGAATTCAACTCAATTTCGATTTAAACAGAAAAACCTAAAACTTAAAATCTACAAGGAAGAAACTACAATTAGCTGCAGTGGCTTCCTGGAGAGCTGTAAAACCTTTCTGCTTATGCCAGCAGACAAGTAAAGCAACACTCCACCATTGGCCATCAGCTGGGTAAAACAAGAACTACAACTGCTGAATCAGGCCAATGAAAAGGGGGAGGCAGCCCTGCGCCACCCACAAATTGCACACAGGCCACACAGCCTGGTTGTTCAGTAACTGCCCATTCCCTTCAGATGGGGAACCATCTTACAGTGTCTTCAACATTTTGGTATACTCTAAAGATTCCACAAATGGGGCTTTTAAAATTGCATGAAAACCTGTTCTGTGATGAGGATTCTGGATTGCTACAGAGGCTATGGGGAAAAACAATAACAAAAACCAAAAAAAACAAGCCAACAAACAAAAACCCACCACACCCATTTCTCTCTTTCTTTCTTTCTTTTTTTCTTTTTTTGGTTTTTCGAGACAGGGTTTCTCTGTGTAGCTTTGCGCCTTTCCTGGAAATCGCTTGGTAGTCCAGGCTGGCCTTGAACTCACAGAGATCCACCTGGCTCTGCCTCCCAAGCGCTGGGATTAAAGTCGTGCGCCGCCACCGCCCAGTATTACCACTCCCATTTCCAAGGGAGACCTGAGATATCATTTGACCACAAACGCAAACGGCTTGGAAGGCAGAGAAATAGGTAAGCTTCCTGGTTGAGACTCTCAAAGACAATCAGAAACTTGTGTTTCCTCTTCAAAGTAAAAATCACAAATCTACCAATTTCTGGATGCTATATTTTAAGAAGTATTTCAATAGATATCCATGAGTAATCTTTGCTGCAATTTGGGAATATTAAAAAAAAAAAATGCTTGGTTCAAAATCTTAACAGCAAATAATATCTTCTATGAAGTACAATGGTTGTGCAGCCCTGTGGGAGGATATAGAGCAATGTGACCCAGAGTCCCAGACACCTCTCCAGCCAAGTTCATGTTTTGGTAATTTCATTCATTGCTTTTAAGTCCCAATGAATGGAGGAAGCGACTGCCTCACTAATGACAGCCCAGGGCTTGAGAATTCAACAGTGGGTTTCTTAAGAAAAAAGAAATCTAAGGAAAACAGAGTAGAACAAACTTCCTCTAGTCTGCAACCCAGGAAGAACTTTGCACAGTCCTGGGGGACCAGAGAGAAACTCTAAAGTGCTGTGCACCTGGTCAAAGGTCATGGAGCCTCCGCTGAATGTTGTGCCTCCAAGACCCAAGTGGGTCAAGGTCCTGCCCTACTCTTGAGTAAGACAGGGAATACACGTCTTCTCCAGAAACTGGCTCCCTGACACACTTAGCACAATGCTGGCTCTTAAGGAGACAAGGTATGGAAACTGGCATTATTGCACTTAAGTTGTTCTAGAAAATGCCACTACCCTGGGAAGATGAAGATGACTACACTTCTCAAAGGCAACATGGACATATTGGTGTCTTTTCCCTCCGTGGGTTTTGGTTCAGTTCTTTAAAACTTCTTAATGAACGTCATATAGCTAAAGAGGACAATGGCATGCAAAGATCAACCTTAAACTTGATATTGTAAGATAACACAGATAAGCAGAAGTGTGAAAAACTGATTAATGAGGGCCAGAGAGATGGCTTAGGGAGCAAAAGTACTTGCCACCTAAACCTGACAACCCATGTACAATCCCTGGAAGCCGTGGTAGAAGGAGAGCCTCGCTTTCTGCAAAGTATCCCCTGACCCCCATCCATGCAAGAACGCAGGAGTATACACACACACACCCATGCATGCATGGGTGCACACACACACACACACACACACACACACACACAATTAGCAACCACAATCCACAGGGTGACATAAATCATTTCCTGAAAGTCTGGGTTGTCATGAATCTTTGCATCATCTGAGTTTTCAGTTGAATTTTAACTAACATATTGGTAATGTGAGAGACTTCCAGAAAGTTCTTGGCCAAGCCTTGGTTCAAATAGGATGACACTGTTGCAATGTCAGATTTCTTTTAAAAAAAAACAAAGATCTTTCTAAAGAGCATGCTAAAGCAATGGTCAAAGCCCCTTTGATTGTTCTCATAAACCCTAATAGGGGACCTGAAAGTTAAACAAGCCCTTTAGGCAGAACTCAGTCAACATGCTAATATTGACCTATACTCCTAAGACATGGTGCCTCCCAGGATTTTGACTTCAAAAACCAATGAGAAATTGTATAACTGTCTTTAAGAGGACTCAACAGCATAAACTTTTCATTTTATGAACCTGATATACAGCAGAGAGCGGCATAAAATTTGTTTTTTGTTTTTAAGAGCCCTTGTCCTGGAATTCACTCTACAGCCCTGACTGTCCTTGCCACAGGCCAATCCTACAGCCTCAGCCTTTTAAATGCTGGGACTAACACTCAAATTCAAAACTTTTATTTTTAACTGTCTAAGTGTTTGCGTGTCCTTGTGTTTCTACTCCCTGTATTCTGCTGCAGGTAGGACCCCTGTGGTCATGCAGGAGCTCTGGTACCCATAAGCCCCTCTGACTGGCTTTAGCCAAGCAGCGCACAGCTTATCCACTGCTCATTCCAGACAGAGGGTCTTTCCCTACCCTCTGAACCACATGCCACACTCACCCTTACTTATTAAAAATCTCTTTCAGAGTACACAGCTACTTTACTTGGACAAAGTTTGCCATGTACACAGAAAACCTTGAGATACACTTCTAGTACCCTAAGCACTTAGTGACTACAGCCAAGAGCTTAGAGACTCTGAAGAAAACATGTGACCTGACCACAGGATTTATAGCAGCAGCTGCAGAAAATATGCATATATTACAGGAAAAGTAAAAACAACCATACACTTACCACCCCCACAAATAATTTCAAAGTGTTGGGTTTTAGATAATCAAATCATTTCATTTTTATTAAGCAATAATCAGAAATTTATTACAAGCAGTACAGCCTGTTCACAAATCACATCTGTATTGTTTCTGGGATGTATAAAATCTTATTTTTTTTAATGTTAGTGTAGTTTTCCAAGGATTACATAATGGCTTACAAAGACACACCTGGGTAGTCAATATAGGTTCAGTGCGGGTTCATGTGGGCCTAAGAAGCTAGCCTATGGTCTTGACAAATCTTCCTGACATAGATACTCTCTCTGTGTGATTTTTTTTTTTTTTCTTTTTAAACACAGGAGTATTTCTCTTCAAGTCCCAGCAAGCTTCCATGCCCATAAGTCAGCTCTGGGTCTTCCCATGCCTGAGGCAGGCCAGGGTCCTTTAGGCTTCATAGCATGGCAGTTGGAAAAGTTTTCCTTGGAAGCCACACCAGCAGTGACCAGCACACTGAGAGGCCACTTTTAGAATACAGTTCTGCGAACTTTTTAGAGGCATCCCTCAGACAGCCAAAGTCCCTACTGTCTAGAAGTGCTGTTTCTCTTCAGGAAGGAAGACGGAAATGCGTCAGGAATAAGTCAGAAGGATGATGCGAAGCTCCTGTTCTTAGCAGAATGCAACCTGACAATGGGAAAGAGGGTTGAACTGTGTGTCGATACTTCTATCTGGACTCAGGACTGGGGAGCCAAACAGCACCATTTTGAAGAGGCAGAAGGAACCAGGATGGAACTGCCTAGGAAGGATGAGCAGGAGAGATGCAGCTGAATTTCCACAGACCCTTGAGACCGTGTATTCAACGTTTTTATTGTCACCACAGAAAGCATATATTTGAGGCAGGAATCAACTCAGGCTCTCCTTCCAGGACCCTCTTCTTGTGGATGTGAAACCATAAAAGTCCAAAGTAGCAAACTCTCAAAGGAGACATAAAAAACAGCTCAGATGCTGAGTAAATGATATCTTTCAGTCAGGTTAACTGACCTGGAGCCTTTGCAGCAGAATGGATCATCAACTCTAGACCACACACAGAGAAATGCCTCAGAGGTGACAGGTGCATTTTGCTGACATTAATGATACATCTTATGAGATTATTTTATGTCTGTACATCCAGTTTGTAAATGACAGTCAAATTTATCTCAGATACAAAGAGCAGGCCACCCAGGACGCTCTGCTGGTGTCACCCTGATGGCACTCTTCTGTGCACTTTTCTCCAGGGGCAGTGTTTCTTCAAGTCTCTTGATTCCACCTTCAGAATGAAGCTGTGCTGTGCAAGAAATTTCCCACAACTGACAGAACAAGGAGGTGACCTGAGACTGCACCATGGAGAAAGGAAGGCTGTCCAAATGGACTTTCTGACAAATCAGATCTGGAGTGGTACAAGCCAGGGGCAGCCACCAAGTGGGAACTCAGAGCGGAGGGTCCTTCCTCCCAGCTGACAAACTCAGAAAGGACCACACACCAGAAAAGCTGAAAGGAATGAAAGCCAGTCAACTGGGAATATTGACAATTTTCCTGAAAATGTGCTTCAAGTTTCCAAGTCACAACAGAGTGCCAAATCTCCAGTCACTATTACATAATTTAAGAAGTATCTGACACCAAGAACTTAATATCCTGACACAATAAAAGGTCACACTTGAGAAAACCTTTACAGTAATTCAGGGGGGAAAGTTTGCGCATGTTCAAAGGCATTACTATGCAAGTTCTTATGAAACACCATCAACAGAAGACACCGCCATGTCCAATGCCTCAGGCTCCACTTGTCCTTGGAAGTGGCTTTTGCAGGATCTGCGCCCTTTCTCTGGGAGGCTTCCACCTTGTGGCTGCAGGGCTCTGGGTGAAGAGGCAGTGGGCGGCCTTCGAGCCTGCAGGTCCCGCCTTCGGAAGCAGAGAACCGGTGTGGGAGATCAAAGTCAGAGCGAGTGACGAGGATCCCATAGATCAGGACATCCTCACACACCAATGTCCCTACCTGTGCAGAAACTGCACAGAGATGCTCTGTCTGTGGTTGTGCTGGTGATGGAGGCCCAGCTTCCAGCAGATCTCCACATGGAGTTTCTCTACAACTTTGCCGACACAGCAGGCTGCTGCTCCACTCACCTTCTCCGCGTCTCTGTTAGTAGGCGTAACTCAAACAGATCTGTTACTCTTTGGAATGCGATGTACCAAGGCTGTGAAGCAGTGACCCAGGAAGGGACAGACTTCCCAAGAGACACACTAAAATGCTCTCTAATCAGTACTACAAGTAAAACAAAGTTGAATACAGTCTTAAAGTTTTATCCAGAAGCTTCTGGGAGGTGGCCATCATGACCATATCCATGGCCTCAGTTCCTCACTATACATGATACTCTATTATTTTGTAAAGTTATACAACAGGAACAAAATAATTTTTATTGATGATGTATTTTCTCTAGTATTTAAGGTATTTATCTGAAATTAAATTAACCATTTAGCCACAAACACATTTAGAACATGCCGAATAATTCAAACTCACCATTAAAATCGATCTTTCCAAAATACTGGCCTCACTGTTCTTAAATATGATGGCATGCTCATGAAAGCTACCCATGACAACACGGAATGCCTGCTGTCCAAGACATCCCAGCATTCTCTTCCCCTCTAGGATGCACTCTGTTCCCTGAGATCCACTCTGTGCAGTTCAGTGTGTAGCTCACCCTCACTCTGTACCATCAGGCTCAGAAGGTTTTCTCTTTAAGTCTCTTTCCTTTGGACTCATGGTTTTCAGAATCTAAGAAGGTCTTTAAAATATTTATTCTGGTGGGGACAAAGTTTTTCCTGGCTGGCTAATTCCTTCTGGGTATATTAGATACCCAGGCCCAATCGATACTGTGGCTAGAACTAGCTAAAAGGAAACCTCTATTGAGAGAAGGGCCACAGAAGGAGATTTTAAAAGGCAGTTGTAATCAGAAAGCAGCTAAACAGACAACACATGCAGAGATTGGTATATAACAAAAACAGTCTACCAGTATTTTCCAGTGTGCTTTCTACTAAATAAGTATCATCTAATTCATCCTACTGAAAAGGGAGGGAAAGGCTGGCGGGAAGAAGTGGGGAATGATGTAATTAACTTTGATTAGAAGGGGGTCACTGGCAGTAGTACAGCCCTTCAGTTTCGGAAAACCCCCCCTAACAGAAATCTGAGGGTAACTGTGGCTGCAAGCATGTAAGGACTCCAGGAACAATGGACAACTCACCAGTAATAAAACTCGCCATCAACTCTCCTGAGCTACCATTCAGTCTCTGCGGTTTCCTGCGTGTTCTTCGTCCTTCCAAGTTGTTCTAACTGTGGTCTTTACAATTGCTATTCCTCAGTGAGGGTGTAAAGAGTAGGGACACATTCATACTGACCACTGAGTAACTAAGCCCCTGAGTTAGTTACTGAAGTAACTAAGCATCCTCAAGTCTCTGAATTGGAGGAGGTGCAGAGGAGGCAGGCACAGACAACGGACCACCAATAACTACAGCCCCTGTAATCTGCACTCGATACCACGCATCCGCCTGTCGGTGGTTGACTACTCCCCACCCACATTCTACATGAGAGCAGCCCACACTTGGAAGGGAGCCAGCCTCTGCTGATTCTTGTTGTTGTTTAGGGAAATTAATCCTTCCAGGAAACTGAGGCCTTTTCTCCCTCTCCCTTATCCAGACCACCAACCCCTTCCCACTAACTCACCCACCTGACAAGAGGGAGGGAGGGAAAGTGAAAGCGAACAGCCTTCTTCCCTCCATGTCAGCACCTCTGATCTACAAGAATGCCTAGTTTGGAAAACTGGCAGCATTTGGCCACACATATATTTGAGAAAAAGAAATCTACATATTCTAATCCAGACCTTGTGAGATGCTCCAGGTCGAAATGCTGTAATTACTGAATTTCATCTGTCACTTACTGTTTTTTCTTCTCTTCTTAACTCCTGATCAATAATCCCTGTGATCTAAGCAGCTTGCGTTGCCGGGCACTCGGGAAAGAAAACGCTCTAACCAAAGCATGACGGGAGGAAACCCACACTGCCCAGAACACGAGAGGTGACAGGCGACAACCCTGAGACACCCCTGTCAGCTGACAGGTACAGAGTTCCTTCACATGCATTTATTAATCTACTGATTCACCCACCAAAACATGAAAATAGGAAAACAACATCATTTCCAAGGCTCCTACATATTTCCAACATTCAACTTAGGGATCCAAGATTCTGAACATGCCATCACCAAAAAAAATTGCAAACCTAAAAAACAAAAAAGGGAAAATAAATTAAACAAGGGCAAAAGAAAAGGCTTTTTCAGAAAAGGTCAATACTGACTTCTATAAATTTCCAAACATTTCAACATTAATGCTTTACTGGTGCTACATTAGCTCTTAAGCTTTACTTTAAAACAAAGCAGTTTCCATACAGCAAAATAAACTATACCTCTATATAAAACTATATAAACTATCCAGCTACACTCATATGTGCCACCTGCTTGTTCCCTATTGGCTGGGTCAACACCTTTTCACGTTTCTAAGTCTTTAATGGCAGAGTCCTGTCCTCCTCTCTTGGAACCGTGGAGAAGACACTGAGGCGCGTGAACGAAGCCACGGGCTTTTTCCTGAACAAGTCACATGTTTCGAAGCTACTTTTTAGCTGAGTGACAGTGACTGGTGTGTGTCCTCCAGCGCGCTAACTTCTAGCACTTAGCATTAAAGATCACCACGTCTTCTAACTCAACAGGGGCCAGCATAACCAAGCGGGCTCGCTTCGCTTTCTTTTTTTCTATTTAAAAAACAAAAAACAAAAATTCCATTTGGTTTGGGTAATAAGAAATCAGGTGTGCGTGCATGTTTGTGTGTGTGTGTGTGTGTGTGTGTGTGTGTGTGTGTGAGAGAGAGAGAGAGAGAGAGAGAGAGAGAGAGAGAGAGAGAGAGAGAATGTGTGTGAGTGAGTGATCACTATGTAGCCCTGGCCAGCCTAGAACTCTCTACATAGACTGGGATGGCCTAGAACTCAGAAAGATGGACCTGGCTCTACCTCTGGAGTGCTGAGATAACAGGCATGCCACTAAGCCCAGCCAGAGATGTAGAGATTACAATTTTTAAACATACAGGCATCAGCAATGCCAGTAACTGTTTCTCATTAAGATCTTCTCCCACATCCCACACCTAGGGCAGTCTTACCATGTTGCTACGCCTTTCAAGTGCTGGGACTGTGACTATAGAAATCTACAGCTCGGCCCCTTCTTCTAAGATACTGTTAATACACAAAAAGGAGCCATGACCGACTCCTCCACTGTGGTTTAGAAAACATGCCCCTTAAGGTCAGGGCATTCTTCTATAGAAAACTAAGGGCTCCGAGTTCTCCTTTCCAAGAGAACCCTGCATACAGGAACAACCTGTTAATCGCTGCTTTTGTCTAAACAGGACAAGGCTGCCAGTGAGGACAAGCTGAGACACACACAGTGCATTTCTCCTGGGTGACCCACTGGAGCCCGAGCTCCACGGGTGGGCTTTATCTTGGTGCATGTGAACAACTGCCTCTCATCATAAAATGTCACAGATGTGAAGGGAATCCTTCCCTGAATCTTGCCACTCCCAACATGTAAGATTACAGGCTGAGAAAATACTACAGACCAACGGGAAGCAAAGCACAGAAGTGCTGATGAGCATCCATGACAGGAAACAGGAAATGGAACATGGCTTTGCTTTAAAATGAAACTGTCCACTGGGTAACAATTTGGAACTTGCCTTCTGCATGATCTGCTAGACTAGGATGAGATTTGCCCCCCCTTAGAGCTCAGTGATGAAGCCACTTCATGACTGAGGCTAAAACGCAGCAAACCTGTGAGGTATTTTGAAGCGGATGGAACTGTATCTAGTGCAGAATGTGAACTGACTCGGAGAACCCCTTCTCTGAGTTAGTGGCTCAGGACCCCTTGTGAATCTGAGCAAAGAATCTCAGTCTTCCCCAGAATCAAGCCCAGTCCTTTCTCGAAGCACAGTTTTTTTAGCAGACTTCATGGGGCTTGGTCCATGAGAATAAAGCAAACAACTAAGAGATGGCACCTCCCCAAAAACGCTTCCCTAATATTAACATATGTGCAAAGACATACAGCTATCTATCCCACAGTTCTACTACCCTCCACTACAAACTATATAAACACATAAGACATTCTAAACATTAGCAATTAAAGCAGAGCTGACTGATGATACATGTCAAATAATTAAATAAAAAATAACTGATCCTCAAAAGGTGATTTACCTTTTGAAAACAAATCACACACAGATACATAACATCAAAATTCTTTATCATAGGAGAGAATACCCTGGCAAGAATTCCTTCTTTTGCACCAAAAATCCTAGGAAGCCTGGACTCCCTTTTGTTCAGGAGCAAATCCTACTGGGTTTTCAGTATGCAAATTCCTAAGGGCTCAGGGCTTCTCGTTTGGCATATATTTTATTGCTACTTAAGCAAAACCAAACAACCAAAACAGAAACTGGTTTACACACACCTAAAACATTTGATATGCCTGTGCTTTTCTGATGTTAACATATGACCCAGTCTGGAACATCGGTAAGCTAAGGATTTTCACATCTTCCAAGGGGAGGCACTGGGGTGGGGGTGGGGCAGGTGGGGACATGAGGCCCCTCTCCATCCCTTAGATTTTTGTCATTACCATGCTGTGTAGAGGACTTTCAGGACCAGGTGACCGCACACGTCTAGAAATCGGATGACCTCAAAGCCACCTCATTTCAGCTGAGGCCTCATGCCTTTTGCTTAGAGCTAAAAATAAAAACACATGTGAATGAACAAATGAGCATGAAATGAAACTCTAACGTGACACTAAAATGCAAAGTAGCAGAAGCAACTTGGCCTCAGAAGAATGAATGTGCACACTTTATTCGCAGCATCAGAGCTCGTCTCCCTGGAAGGTTCCCCCTTCTATCCCTTTAAAAGCTGGAACAACGACAATCATCCAATCCCAAGTTTGATCTACAAAGCTCAAGTAGTATTTCACTCATTTTTTGAAACTAGGATACATTACTTTTATATGAAATTAAAGATACAAATGAAGTTAACAATTTAACTTTGTTACTGATAGACACATATATCTGTGTACACATACACAACAGGGCAAGAAAGCAAAGTATACGGTTGAGCTACAACAGTGGAATGACAGAAGAAATAGAGGTTTCAGAACTCCTGGCTTCCAGAGCCTGCTGCAGTTCATGGAAACTGACCGGCTTCTCCGGGGAAAGTGAGCATTGGCTCATCCAGGCAACACAGCATGTGCCCGAGCTCTAGATGGAAAGGCAGGTGCAAGATGGGGTACCCGCCAACCCAGGGCAGTGGGGGCTGCTGCTCCCACCTGAAGGGCAGCAGAATTCAGGAAGTGACAGCAAGGGCCAACTGGACTCAAACAAACCCCACCAAGGACCCCAAGTCTTTCTGCTCCGCATCACTAGCCTCTAAGCTTCAGGACCCAGCACGATTTTCACAATCCTATGTTAATCTTGAAATTCATTCTTCTCCTGGAAAATAAAGGTAGTTCTGATGCCAAACATGTCTCAGGCTATTTTCAATGGTCAAAATGACCAAAAGCCACTTACTCAGTACTTCAGTTTGCTGGAGCTGTGATTTAAAATTCAGAAATCCTGCTGCCAGTTCCCCTGGAATCAGCCTTCCCTACTGTATAATGAAGACAAGCAGCTTATGGGTTTTAATTCCATTCATAAATACCATGAAGTTACAGTTCCTAAGTTAACAAGTAGCCTCTGCATCGACACTAATGTTGGTGTCTGTGTGTATAACAGCATTGTTTAATTCTGTGATCAACTTAAGTTCTACCTTCATCTTGCAACAAAAGTAGTCCACACATATTTCAGTCAGTTCATCTTCCAGAACTTTTTCCTGAGGTTCAACTAAATTTAAACTCTAGACAAATGTTAATAAGTTATATTGGCTTGACTCTAAAGTTCACAGACGTGTGCTCTAAAGCAATACACTGTAAGTTATGATTAAATATTTAGAATAACTATTGGGATAATCTAAATTCTCATCATGGACAAGTCCTAAGCAAATCAGATCAGGCATGTGCTCATGTGGTTCTCTCCTCTGATGCAAATTTGAGTCAAGGAAATAGCTCTTATTTGCAAGCAGCCCATACTTCCTCCTTTGCCATATCACAGGGCCTCCTTAGCAACCTGAAGTACATTCACAGAAGATGTAATTAATAGGTGCGCATTTCTGCTTTAAGCCTAAAATGTTTGTTTACTTAACACTTCCAAACTGGTCCTGCATCAATAGAGAAGCTATCATCCAGCCTGCAGCTCTACCTAACTCACTTTTCTACTAGTCTCTGTGACAGATAGACAAACAGACAGACAAATAGGTATGGCTGAGAAGTTCCATTCTCCTCCCCAGGGCCCACACCTCCCCTTAGGTTGGTTATCCATTTTTGTGCCACGGTCCCCTTTTCTGCATCAAGTGTTAGTTTTGTTTTTTTAATTGAAATTACAATCCAAAACAACAAATACCATGACTGATTCCACACCATGTGTTTCAATCCCATAACTTAACTACCTCAACTTTGGTTGCAGCCTTTGATGATAGGCATCTTGACACTTGAAGGCACATTTTAGTTTCTCTGGTTTAGAGAGAAAAGCTGGCCTCAACTTCACAGACAAGGCTGGCCTTGAACTTGTGGCCTCCCATTCCAGCTTCCATCTCCTGAGTACAAGACGTGTGCTACTACACCTTGCTTAGACTTAGTCTTAAATTACAGTAACATAAAACTTCATTTGCCTCGTCAGGAATGTCACAATGGCTTCCATCAAGATGGGATCAAGGAATTCTAGTGAGTTAGACAAACTTCAGCCAACTATAGAATCAAAATTCTAAAAAAGACCTAACCTTCAGATTATGGTCACAGAAGGGGAAAAATTGTATAATGAAGACACAGAGAATATTTTCAGTAAAAATCAAATAAGAAAATTTCCCAAACCAATAGAAAGAGATGTCCCTCAGCGTAAAACTGGCCTACAGAACTCCAATTGCAATAAAAACTACAGAAAATACATAAACTCACAGAGACTAAAAACCATGGTATTGAATGATAATTAGGTCACTGAAAAAAAATCAAGAAGGAAATTTAAAAATTCCTAGAATTGAGTGAAAATGAAAACACAACACACCAAAATCCATGGGTCACAATAATGGTGGATCCTAAGAGGAAGTTTACTGTGCTGTGTCTACATCAAAAAATTTTGAGAGATCTCAAATTACTAACTGCATGCCTTGGAAAAACAAGAACAAACATCCAGATAGAGTAAATGAGAGGAGATAACCAGAACTGGGACTGAAATTAATTAAATAGAAATGAAAAATACAAAGAACAAATAAAATGAAAAGTTGGTTCTTTGAAAAGAGACAAACTTTTAGCCAAATCCACAGAGAGCGAGAACACCAAATTAATACAATTAGAGGTTAAAGGTTGACATTACAACAGACACTGAGGAAAGTCAGAGAACCACTGAAGATGTACTTTAAAAATGTACATTCTACTAAACTAGAAAATGCAAAAGAAATGAATGATTTCTAGATATATGACCTACCAAAGTTCAATCAAGAAGAAGCGATGTTCTCCAGAGAACACTGCTGGACTGCACTATACCTTTCCTGGACCCTGTAACCTATCCCTTTACTTGTAAGTTACATCACAAAATAAACCTCCCTTTTAACTACATAGAGTTGCCTTAATACTTCTACCAATAAGAAGCAAATAATTAAACATGACAACCAATGAGATAGAAACAGTAACTAAAATTCTCCCAACTAAAAAAGCCAGGGGCAGATGGATAGGCCCAGAATTCTACCAGACCTTCAAGAACTAACATCAACACTCCCCAAGTTAGTCTGTGCTAAATAAATAAATACACTTCCAAGTTCATTTTACAAAGCCAGAAGCATCTGTAAACGGAAGTTTCTTTTCCTCCAGCAACTCCCAAATACCCATCAGCTGCTTCCCAAATTACCACACAGAGGCTTATATGAATTATAAATGCTCCGCCCATAGTTCAGGCTTATTACTAACTAGCTCTTACATTTTAAGTTAACCCATATTCCTTATTTACGCTCTACCACATGGCAGTACCTTTATTAGCATGGCACACTCATCTCCTGCTCCCTCTGCATCTGGCTGGTAACTCCTGACTCCACCCTTCCTCTTCCCAGCATTCTTAATTTGATCACCCCACTTATACTTCCTGCATAGCTACTGGCCAATTGGTGTTTTAGTAAACCAATTCGAGTGACAAATCTTTACAATGTACAAGAGGATTATTCCACACCAAGCATCCTGATACCAACACCAGACAAAGACCCAAAAGAAAAGGGAATTATAAGTCAATCTCTCTGATGAACATAGATGCAAAAATTATCAACCACATACTTGCAAACAAAGTTCAGAAACACATCAAAAAGAGAATCCACCATGATCAAGTGGGCTTTATCATAGACATGCAGGGATGAATTAAGCATCAATAAAGTAATCCACTACATAAACAGATGGAGGGACACAAAGTATACAACACTTCATTATATGTAGAAAAAATACTTTAACAAAGTCCAACATGCCTTCATGGTTAAAAAAAATCCTGGAGAATATTAGGGATATTAGGGACATATCTCAACATAATAAAAGCAGTACACAACAAAAGCTAATTTAGACCCCAAAATTTGAGTTCCAGTACTATATCCTTCCAATTTCTTCTCTCCTATAAGTCAAAATATTTACAGGGGCCTTATAGAACAGGCATTACTGTCAACATGCAGATAGCCAAAGAAAACAATCATAAGGCACACAAGGAAGTAGGTCTGAAGCGACCACCTCTCCTGCTGCTACAGAAACATGGGGACATCAGCAGATGCACAAATTGCTGCTGCTGAATGGAGACATAAGCCATCTGCTTATCTGAAGCAGCGGGAAAAAAAGAAAAAAGACAGGAAAGAAAGAAGCATTGTGGGTGGCTGTCCAAGAAGCTGTTATCCCAGAAGAACAGCTTTTCACTTACCACTTCATGGTTCTAGAGTATAATTTCTATATCATGAACAATGATTACTTTTCTAGAAAAATATTTCCCTAGGTGCCTTACTAGGCATTTCAAAATTCTACAAATTAGGTGTCTGAAAATGGATAGAAACTGCTGGCTCTCAGTCAGGTCTACTGTGAGCCACTGTGAACATGAGAATTCATGCGCAGTCAGAGAGAAGCCCGGGTGTCAAAGAATGGGGGGTGGTAACTGCTGATGCAGCCTGGCCACCATGCTTCTTGAATTTGGCCACGTTTTTGCTTCTTCCAATATGCTTCAGTCTGCACAACCCAGGCAAAGTAAACTTATGCTACAGGCTCAGCGCACACGGGGCATGTCACAGGGCTTGGCTTTTTACTTCCAAGATCTTAACAAGCTATTCAATAGCACAGTGTGTGCCACAACATTAGTGATAATCACAGAGCAAATCTTCTACCCAGAGACACGGCCAGCCCAGGAACCCCATGCTGTTGCTGGACCTCTCAGAGATGGCAGGCTCTAAGCCAGTACCTCTGCAAATATGTTCCCCCTTGCCTTGTTCTGAGACACCTACCCTTACCAATGGAATACAGGGCTGGAGCCAAACCTCCCAGTAAAATGCCACGGGAGAAAATGTCTCTCAGGTAGGAAGCCAAGCACAACACGCTGCAGAAAGTCCCTGGTTGATTTCACAGTCCTCAGAGTGGCCCCAAA